CGGGGTTCGGCATGCTCGGACCCCCCCCCCACCTTCTACACTCCACAAAGTCAGTCAAAGCGGACGCGCTGTACTTTGGAAGCGTTCTCCCCGCAGAGTGGCCAATATTCGGCATCCGCGCATTTGTCGTCGCACGGCGGAGGCACGCACCGCGAAAGCTACGCTTGTCTCTGCAGATGGCCCTAGAAGCTTTGAGCGCCACAGGCTTGCAACAACACTCGGTTATTTCCAATAGTTTGAAAGTCGCGGCCATGCTGCGCACGCCGCCGGCGATCCCAACTGGAAACAAGACTACGACAGCCTACTTGGACTGGGCTGGCAAGTCGAGGTTACACTGGACGGGGCGCCCCCAGTCGCGACGGCGGCGGGAACGACCCCCACGCGCGCGCTGATTCGGGGGGGCCCGCAGGCTGCCCCACAGGTGTTCCTGGGAGCGAAGCTGCTCTCAGGCATTCCACATTACGCTCTGGCACGCTACCAGCTCGACATCAATGTCGCCCATATGCGTCGCTATCGTTCGAAGCACGCCGCGCCCTTCCGCCCTCTCAAAGAGCCGACGGGTGACGGTCGCCAACTCAACAAGCTGCTCGACCAAGAAGTTGGCGAATGTCTCTATCGCATCTCGCAGGAAGTACTGGCGCGAGAGAGCGAAGAAGGCCCTCAACGCGGCTGTGGACAAAGGGTTCTTGAACTGGCTCGAGGTCATGAACGTCCGAAGAGATCGACGCCGATGCAGAGGGCCGTCGCAGCCCCTGCGCGACACAGACCAAATCAGAGCATAGCACATCCGCGACTACCACGATCACATCGTAGGCATTCTGGGCAGCTACAACGGGGTTCACCTGACACGGACGCACTCACAACCAAGCACTTCTCGTACCTCGCCACGGCCATCAACCACGGCACTGCGAAGGCTTAGTTCTTTGATTACCACGGAGAACGCCAAGCTCCAGGAGGCGACCCGGCGTTCGTGTAGAGATGAAGTTGCTAAGTGGTCATCGGAGGCGCCGTCAGTGGCTGCGACCATGTTCACGCCCGTCGCGGCCTCGCCCACCGGCCGAATCTCCGACGCGCGCAAACAGCGGGGGGCCCAAGGGCGACCACCACCAGAGAGAACCATGACCCAGGAGGCTGCGTTGACCGATGGCGACAGCCTGCTGCAGCAGTACCTTTCCCGCAGCCTGGCTGCAAGCCTGACGATTGGACCCCGTCCATGGCCGACTTCTTGGGGGCCGCCAGGTGCTCCGCGAGCTGCGCCGGATTGGGTGGCTGGTCGTTCAATGAGATGCGTATCTTGGACCAGATGCCCCCAGACATCATGGACGAGCCAGATACCTCGTGGGTCGACGTGACGGCCGAGCGCGCGCGACATCGCGGACATCCACCTCAAGACCCACTGCAGAAATTGCTATCCTGGAGGATTGTTGGCCAGCCGAAGGGAGAAGAGGACGCGAGATCGACTTCAGTGGGCAGTGTCTTGCCGCTCACATGGCTTCGGATATTGGCAGCTGTTGTTCCGACGCCGCCGCGGAATCAATGGGCCAACCGCAAACATGTCTCCGTCGGCCGCGCAATCAGCCAGCGGCTGCGCGGTTGTGCGGCGGGCACGAATGGATGCGAACTGGATCTTTCAAAAGCGCATGATACGATAAATCATGAGATTGCAGGTGCCAGCATGGAGGCATCCGGGTTTCCAGCAGCCGTCCGTTTCACGCGCGCTGCCGCTTGGGCTGCAAACAGGAACTGCAGCGCGAACGGGGAGGTCACCAGGCCCATCACGAATACAGACCGCGGTCTACCGCAAGGGGATTATACTGTTCCTTCGAAGATGATGCGCACGCCCACATCTTGTCAACCGCGCAGATCGCCAGGGCGTTCCATGGGCGATCGCTACCCGATAGCACCATCGCCTGAGGCCCTCGAGAAGGGGCCCAACGACACGAGACAGTTCGACGCAGACACCAGCTACTGCGCGAACCCGAAGAAGCGGCATACCTGGACGGATCAAGACGACCCTTCCCGTAAAGTTGAACATATCGGAGTCTTGGCGCGCCCTGCTAACGCACGGCCCGCGCGCGCCTGGAATTCGCCCACTGCTGGCCGTCGCGGACGCGGGCCGCGCCCACACTCACGCCGCCTCATCATGAGGCGGCCAAGATCCTGGCCAAGGCGGTCTGGAGGACGCAGACTACCCGGCGGCGCGCGGGGCGATGGCGGCGCCAGAACACGCGGCCGCATCCTGTTCTCTCGCGCTCTTTGTTTGCCGATCAAGAAGTTGAGGGGCGAGCGGCTGACGCGGTCGTCTTTCGTTGAGCATTCGAGGCAGCGACGCGCTGAGGAATCGGGATTGTCGCTCGTCCGTTCCCCCGAGGAAAGAGGGGCTCGCGCGCCGGGGGGCGCCCGCGACGACCGCCGCGCGCACATGCTCGCCCCCGGCGCCCTGGACGACAACCACAGGTTCCGGACAAACACCGACAGAACTCAAGACTTCCTGCGGGGCATCGCGCGGACCAGGCGCGCGCAAACAGTTCCCCGCCGTCGGAAAGACGCCGAGGAGGTCGACGACGTTCCTTCGCCAAATGGCACCGTGGACTCGGCGCGCGAAAAAATTACCCTGTCTGTTTATCGGAATGGCGCTGCCACGTCCGAGGCGAGGAGACAGCCTGGATGCAACCGTAAGTTCTGCAACGCCACGCGGCCCCGCCATGAGACATCTCGCGGCGGACTGCCCGCGCATCTCGAGCCCCAGAGAACGCTGAACTAAGCAGCATGCGCTACGACCACAATTGTTGTCGTCTCCTCCGAGTGTTTCGGATAAAGTGGGTGGACTGCGCTCGCCGCCGCCCCGGCAGCCAGCGACCGCTCCAGGATGGTGGTTGCATTATGCCCCATGGGCTTTGGTGCCGCGACCTCTGGTTTGGATGAGATACTGAATGACGCCGCTCCGCTTCCTCGATCGGGAGCCCGTCGTGCCGGCGTGGAACTACCGCGCGTGGACCTACCCCATTGTCGAGGCGTTCCACTTCACCATTCTCCTAGCTGTGAATTTTGGGACTGGAGATGATGGCGCTCTTCTTCGGGTTGGCGATACGCGGCAACGCCGCCCTGCATGGATGCATCTCACGGAAGTCAGAATTCGGGTAATCTGCTTCAGAGAGGTCGCGCAGCTGCCGGGGCAACGCGCATTGCGGTCGGGGCCAAAATGGCCACTCCACCCGCAGCCCATGAAAGGCGCGAAGATTGGATGACCATGTAGTGGCATTCATGCGATTGACCTCGCGGGCGAGGTTCTCCTACAAGACGCGGGCCCGTTGCACCATGATGTAGGCATTGGCCCGCATGTACGTCGGGGAGATCTGCACGCCGCACTGATTCTGTTTGGGCCAGCTGTGAAGGAGGCCTCGGGCGCTCCAACCCACCATCCTGCACGAGTCACCGTTCTGCGTGCCTCGCGAGAACCGCGGGTCCAAGACACCGCCGCTCCGTGACCCTGGCCGCGAACTTCGACCCGAACAAGTCTTGAGGCTCGCCTTGTCGATCTGCTGCGCAGCCGCGAGGCGCTTCCCCAACTTCGTGGGTCCGTTGGCAGCTGGGCAGCACGCGCGGACTGGAGCTTGGCCGTCGAGCAGCACGTCGCCATCATCTTTGCGGTATAATCACCGCCCAGCGCTAGGATAGAGCCCCCCGCACGCGCGCTCGAGGCGCTCGGACTGGATCTCGGCGCGGACCTGCTTGGGAGAGCGGTCTGAATTGACGTACATGGGTTCGATTATGATATGATTGCCGCGCGCCTTCGCCGAAAACGAGCACCAGATGCTCTCGTCCCTGAGCTGGGCCACCAGTGCGGCGGCTCTGGGGTGGTAGACCTCGGCGCCACCGATGAGCTGCATTATGAAACTTCGGCCAGGAGCGCCTTCGAGGAGACGCCAATCACCAGGTTCACTTTCAGCAGCCGTAGTCCAGTCGGCGAGCCCGTTGCGCACCTCGTCGGGGTCGGAGATCTCGACGCGCTGGATGCGGAACAGGTTGGCGTTGCTCTTGCGGTCCCACTCGCTGACCTCCGAGACGTCCGCGATGGGGATCTCGGCTGTGGCCCTGGCGAGGATGACGCTGATCTCTTCGACCTGTCCCACGGCATGCGCGACGTCGGCCTCCGAGGTGGCAAGTCGTTGCTCGAATTCCACGACGTCACCGTCCGAGGCGTTGAGGCGTTGTTACTGTTGTGCTGCAGTTGTTTTGCACCAGTCTAGCAGCTGCACGAGTGGCCGCGGCTTCCGCCTGGGCTTTGGCGAACGCCACGAGCTCGTTGTTGGCCTCGGCCAGGATCTGCATGCTGTTGCTTGAGCATCTTGTCCATGGCAGCCGGCAGCACGGCCTCGACTACTCCACCCCCATGCCCAGCAGCGCCACGGGATGCACCTGCTGTGAGAGAAGCGGCCCCAGAGCCTCCGTCTTGCGCCCAGGGGTCTCGCTCCGATACTGAATCCCGCTCGGTGCGCTTGGAGCCTTTGCGAGCTGGCGGAGGCGAGCGGCTCTTCCCGCCGTCAGCGCATCTGGGGGCCTGGCCGCTGCCAGAAAAAGCCATGCCGCGAGGGTACGGATGAGATACAGCCCGCGCGGGGCGGGCCGAAACTGGAAAGTGGTGATGTAATGAACTTGGTTCTGCTGATGGCATGGAGACCAAGTAGGACAAGCGGACACTCGGGGCCTCCGTCGTTCCGACGCCATCTTGAGCCAAAATGGCGACGGAGGAAGAGAACGAGGAGGCGGAGGAGGAGGAGGAGGCCGCGGGGGAGGCGGAGGAGGAGGAGAGGAGGAAGAAGAGAGGGGAGGAGCAAGAAGCAGAAGCGAGGAGGACGAGGACGGGACGGGATGCTAGCATGTGTCTGCACCGCGGGGTCTTCCTTCCAAAGGGGCCCTCCCTCGTCGCCGCGGCGGGCTGCGCCCCAGAATCCCGGCCAGGACGCGCTCAGGGCCAGGCCTGTGGAACGTGTTTTTGTTCACGCGGTCGTCCGAGGAGCAGCCGCGCGGGCGAGCACCTCGAAAAGTCGAGCAGGCAGAGTGCGCCTGGTGCCAGAACCACACTGGTAGGGCGCACCGCTGCCCTTTGCCTGGCTGGGTGGCTGGCTGGCCACGGCGATGCCGATCCAATCGTCACAACCTACCCACTCTTCACACCCGCTCCGGCCCCCTCGCACCCCCCGCACCCGCCCTCGAAGCACATTGCCACATGGAGATGGGCCGCAACTCGAGGTCAGTAGCCAAGGCGGGAGTACCAAAAATGCGAGCAGCGGTGGCGTCTGACCACAAGCCACTTCAGAGATGTCGCACCGGACTTGCGCGCAACAGTAGGAGAACCGCCTCTGGGACTTTTCAGTCACATAGGAACTGGAATGGGAGAAGAAGAGGGGAATGATGAGGAGGATGAGAGGAGACCACCGGGCGAGCCCATGTGCCCAGCCCATGGCTTGGGAGAGGAGTTAAAAAACTGCATTACGAATTCCTGCGTTGCCCAAGGCCTAACGCGAGCCCAAAGTCCGCTGCAGATGGCGGAAAGAGAGGTGCGAGACCTCGGTTGAATGATCGGGGCCGTCCTCTCCGAGGGAAACAAGCAGTGGCACAAACATAAAAGCTCTGAGGTCGGCGTCGCGGATCTCCGAGTTGTTATCTGTGTGCCAGGGTTTGTTCCCCGATGGTTGCCCCCTACTCGCCATCGCTCGGACGTCCATTCCCCGTGCATTGGTCGACTTCGTGCGTGGATGTTTGGCACGATGATCCAGGATGCTCCTCGATGGTCCTCGCCGAGAAGGAAAAACGCACACGTCCGAGCGATGCCAAGCCCATGCCCCCTCCCCACTCTCCTATTCCTGCTGCTCCTCCTGCTCCACCACACCCCAGTGCAGGACGGCAGAGCCCTGCTCACCCCGGGCAGCCCCTGGCAAGTCGCCCCGCGGGCGAGGCCGTCGAGAGCTGGCCAGTCTGGCTGCAAGTTGTGACACGCTGTGGCTGCCGCAGCGAGTGCTGACGCCCCCGCATGGGAGGCGCCAGGATTGAATCATGCCTATACTATTATGCGCAATGCCTAGTGCACATGTATCGCTTGGGGGATGCAACAAAAAAACAACGATGGTGAGGACTGCCAGCTTCCCAACTGCTGGACAGAGGGCCCCACCATATTGCCTGTAGCGTCTAGTACGCCGTGGTGCGCGCCCATCGCGCGCGCCTGGCGCCTGAGGTGCTCTGCTCTGCCCAGCGAGGAGCGCGAGCAAGGCGCGGACCGGTCGACGGGCGCGGGAGGAGCTTCTGCCCCGCCGCGGAAGCCGAGCAAGCAGCGCCATCGGCCACCGGGGGGGACCACGCGGCAAGCGTGCCCCCCGCGCGCCCGCCCGGGGCGCCTCTCCCCGCGCGACCCCCCCCCCCCTTTCTGGGGAAGCCGAAACGCACCAACACCATGATTCTCCGGACCTCTCCCGGGGGGGCGTTCTGAGTTCGAGGCGAACCTGGCGGTGGCGATGAGGGCCCCCCAGGACGCCCAGAAAGGGGAAAACGAGTGGAGGGTAGCGGTATGGGTACCCTCCGACTTTCAGCCCGGCCTGGCGCGCGCTGGCGGGCGAGCTGGCCACGCCGAGGCACGCGGCGCTGCGGCAGGTCGCGGCCGAGGGCGGCCGCGGGCGGCGGCGGCGGGCAGCTCGAGCTGCCCGCGCCGCGGAGGCGGCGCGCGCAGGGGCGGCGCCGTCGCGCTCCACAGGCGGCCTCTCGGGCCCCATGCTGAGGGTCCAGGCGCGCGCACGGCTGCACGTCTGCCCCTCCCCCCTCATGCCCCGCCCCCCCCCCTCGTCCCCCGTCCCTCGCCCGTCGTCCCCCCACCCGCTCTGCCAGGGCCCCTTCTTGCGCTCGTAGGCGAACAAGGAGCATACACATGGATCGACTCTCGACGCTGGGGGGCCAGCTGTGACGATCGTCGTGGCTGCCAGGTATACCGAACATAAAGGAAAGCACACGGCACCAAAAACTGGCGAGCCGATCCAAAACGTCACGAGGGACGCTTGGCCACGTCTAAAGCACGCAGCTACCATAGGCTGCCGATGTCTAGCTGCGCAGCATCGCAGCTACTTCGGCTGATGCCATCTACTCAGTATCAACCACCGTGCCTCGAGGCACGGAACGGAGTGTTCCCCAGGCTCCTAAAGTTCTCTGCGCTGTGTAACCTGCGTAGTAAGTGTTGAAATATTGTAGGTAGGGGCAGGGCGCCCCTAATCTCACACCTTCTTGGCAGTCCCGCACGCTCCCGGGCGTCCTCGCATGACTTTTGTCTAAAGGCCCGAGGGTCCCCATGACGGGCTAGGAGGGCCCAAGAGGCCCCTACGACGGTCCAGGATGGCCCCAAGTCGCCCAAAGATCGCTCCAAGACGCCCAAGATGGCCCGCAGACGGCCCAAGAGACCCCCAAAACGCCCCAAGAGGACTTTAAGAGGCCCGCCAAGAGGGCCCAGAGATGCCTCATGTATGTTCCTCGGGCTTTGGAAAAGGTTCGTGCTCTCGCCTTTTCGAACGATCGACGCTCTAAGACGGCCCCAGAGGCCGCCCATGCCCCCTCCCCACTCTCCTATTCCTGCTGCTCCTCCTGCTCCACCACACCCCAGTGCAGGACGGCAGAGCCCTGCTCACCCCGGGCAGCCCCTGGCAAGTCACCCCGCGGGCGAGGCTCTCGAGAGCTGGCCAGTCTGGCTGCAAGTTGTGACACGCTGTGGCTGCCGCAGCGAGTGCTGACGCCCCCGCATGCGAGGCGCCAGGATTGAATCATGCCTAGACTATTATGCGCAATGCCTAGTGCACATGTGTCGCTTGGGGGATGCGGCCGCGGGCGGCGGCGGCGGGCAGCTCGAGCTGCCCGCGCCGCGGAGGCGGCGCGCGCAGGGGCGGCGCCGTCGCGCTCCACAGGCGGCCTCTCGGGCCCCATGCTGAGGGTCCAGGCGCGCGCACGGCTGCACGTCTGCCCCTCCCCCCTCTTGCCCCGCCCCCCCCCCTCGTCCCCCGTCCCTCGCCCGTCGTCCCCCCACCCGCTCTGCCAGGGCCCCTTCTTGCGCTCGTAGGCGAACAAGGAGCACACACATGGATCGACTCTCGACGCTGGTGGGCCAGCTGTGACGATCGTCGTGGCTGCCAGGTATACCGAACATAAAGGAGAGCACACGGCACCAAAAACTGGCGAGCCGATCCAAAACGTCACGAGGGACGCTTGGCCACGTCTAAAGCACGTAGCTACCATAGGCTGCCGATGTCTAGCTGCGCAGCATCGCAGCTACTTCGGCTGATGCCATCTACTCAGTATCAACCACCGTGCCTCGAGGCACGGAACGGAGTGTTCCCCAGGCTCCTAAAGTTCTCTGCGCTGTGTAACCTGCGTAGTAAGTGTTGAAATATTGTAGGTAGGGGCAGGGCGCCTCTAATCTCACACCTTCTTGGCAGTCCCGCACGCTCCCGGGCGTCCTCGCATGACTTTTGTCTAAAGGCCCGAGGGTCCCCATGACGGGCTAGGAGGGCCCAAGAGGCCCCTACGACGGTACAGGATGGCCCCAAGTCGCCCAAAGATCGCTCCAAGACGCCCAAGATGGCCCGCAGACGGCCCAAGAGACCCCCAAAACGCCCCAAGAGGGCTTTAAGAGGCCCGCCAAGAGGGCCCAGAGATGCCTCATGTATGTTCCTCGGGCTTTGGAAAAGGTTCGTGCTCTCGCCTTTTCGAACGATCGACGCTCTAAGACGGCCCCAGAGGCCGCCCATGCCCCCTCCCCACTCTCCTATTCCTGCTGCTCCTCCTGCTCCACCACACCCCAGTGCAGGACGGCAGAGCCCTGCTCACCCCGGGCAGCCCCTGGCAAGTCGCCCCGCGGGCGAGGCTCTCGAGAGCCGGCCAGTCTGGCTGCAAGTTGTGACACGCTGTGGCTGCCGCAGCGAGTGCTGACGCCCCCGCATGCGAGGCGCCAGGATTGAATCATGCCTATACTATTATGCGCAATGCCTAGTGCACATGTATCGCTTGGGGGATGCAACAAAAAAAACAACGATGGTGAGGACTGCCAGCTTCCCAACTGCTGGACAGAGGGCCCCACCATATTGCCTGTAGCGTCTAGTACGCCGTGGTGCGCGCCCATCGCGCGCGCCTGGCGCCTGAGGTGCTCTACGCACCAACACCGTGATTCTCCGGACCTCTCCCGGGGGGGCGTTCTGAGTTCGAGGCGAACCTGGCGGTGGCGGTGAGGGCCCCCCAGGACGCCCAGAAAGGGGAAAACGAGTGGAGGGTAGCGGTATGGGTACCCTCCGACTTTCAGCCTGGCCTGGCGCGCCAAGAGGGCTTAAAGAGGCCCGCCAAGAGGGCCCAGAGATGCCTCATGTATGTTCCTCGGGCTTTGGAAAAGGTTCGTGCTCTCGCCTTTTCAAACGATCGACGCTCTAAGACGGCCCAAGAGGCCGCCAAGATCGCCCCAAGACGGCCCAAGAGGCCCCCAAGAACGCCCTCTGACGATCCAAGAGGGCCCCAAGACGGTCCAAGAGCTCCCCAAGACAGCCCAAAGGGCTCCAAGAGGGGCCCAAGAGAGGCACCAGAGGGGGGGGGGAACACGAACCGACGCTTCGAGACCTTCGCCCCAAAATGGCCCCCGAGACCGCCAGCAGGTCCCCAAGAGGCCCCCCACAAACTCCAGGACCCCCAAAAGGCCCAAATCAGGCCCCAAGAGGCCCCCAAGACACCCCCGAGAGGCCACCAAGACGTCCCCAAACCGAATCCAAGAGGCTTCCGAGAAGCCTCTGGAAAAATCCCAACAGACATGCCAGAGGCCTCTCAGCTACAAACCCGGCACGGTGGCGGGATAGGCCGGAGGCCACTAGACCTGGGCCGGCACGGAAACGGAAAGAGCGCCTCAAACAAATGAACCACAATTACTGACACCACCGCTCGTACTGGGAGACTTGGCGTTGAGAGCTTGTTACGTCAACCCGCGCTCCTGGGAGCCTTCGTGTTCAGAGATTGTTGCGTTGGCGCACGTCCTCCTCCTCCTCCTCCTCCTCCTCCTCCTCCTCCTCCTCCTCCGCCTCCGCCTCCGCCTCCGCCTCCGCCTCCGCCTCCTCCGCCTCCTCCTCCTCCTCCTCCTCCTCCTCCTCCTCCTCCTCCTCCTCCTCCTCCTCTCTGCCTCCTCCTCCTCCTCCTCCCCCTCCTCGCCTCCTCCTCCTCCTCCTCCTCCTCCTCCTCATCCTCCTCCTCCTCTCTCCCTCCCCCCCCTCCTCCTCCTCCTCCTCCCTCCTCCTCCTCCTCATCCTCCTCCTCTTCCTCATCCTCCTCCTCCTCCCCTCCCCTTCTACCTCCCTCCTCCTCCTCCCTTGGCCTCGTCCTCGTCCTTCTCCTCCTCCTCCTCCTCCTCCTCCTCCTCCTCCCTCCTCCTCCCTCCTCCTCCTCCTCCTCCTCCTCCTCCTCCTCCTCTTCGGGCGCGCTTGGGAGCCTATTGGGGCCCTCTTAGGCTCTGAGGGCCCTCGGGGCCCTCATCTTGGGCCGTTTTGGGCCCCTTTGGGACGCCTCGGGGGCCGTCTTGGGATGATATTTTGGGCCTCTTAGGCCGTCTTGGGCCCGTCTTGGGGCCCTCTTGGACCGTCTTGGGCCCGTTTGGGGTGCCTCGGGGGCCGTCTTGGGATGATATTTGGGGCCTCTTAGGCCGTCTTGGGCCCGTCTGGGGGCCCTCTTGGACCGTTTTGGGGCAAATTTGGGGCGCCTCTGGGGCTGTCTTGGGACGATCTTTGGGGCCTCTTGGGCCGTCTGGGGCCCTTCTGGGACGGAAAAGGGGGGAACCCTAAAAACTTGCAAAAACCCTAAGGATATCAAGGTTGTTGGCCTCCTGAGGCCCTCTCGGGGGCCCTCTTGAGGGCCTCTGGGGCCGTCTCGAGACTCTCTTGGACCGTCTTGGGGCCCTCTCGGGACCTATTGGGGCCTCTTCGGGCATCTTTTGGGCAGCCGTGGGAAGTGTCTTTTGGGAAGCCCTCTCCAAAAAAAACACTTGCTGGACAGCATTCCTGAGCTCTCTTGGGGCTCTCTTGGGCCGTCTTGGGGCTCTCTTGGGCCGTTTCGGGCTCCTCTGGGGCCGTCTTGGGGCCCTCCTAAACCTTTTTCGGGCCCTTTGGGGGGCCTCTTGGGCCGTTGTGGGACGATCTTTGGAGCCTCTTGGGCCGTTTTGGGCCGTTCTTGGCCCGAAAAGGCTGCAACCCGAAAAACCTTCAAAAACCATTGGAAAATCAATGATTGTTGCATCTCGGGGCCCCCTTCGGAAGCCTCTTGGAAGCCTCTTGGGCCGTCTTGGAGCCATCTTAAAGCGTCTTGG